CGACCGTGCCTCCCGCCCCTCTGAAACCGGCTAATTATCCCCCCTACGTGATTTCTCTCTCTCGAGTCTTCCTTAAGGCCCCTTTCCCCTTTAGTGGCCGAAAAAAAGATGATAATCAGGAATTTTTTTTAAAAAAAGCAAAAATGTTATGGTAAAAACAACATCTGGCTTTTATTTATTATATTAGAGGTACCCATAAGTAATCAATTATTTGCAAAGAAATTATTTCTCTTTAGTTCTGTACCGATCGCAAAAGAGGAAATACATTTTCTGTTAGTTTTCAGTACAGCAGCCAGTGTGTAAAATATTTTCAAAAGTATACATTTTTTTATTGCTCTAAACACCCTGTATAGATTGTGATTAAAGAAGGTGGGCCTGTGAGGATTCGACCTATCGGACCAGTGTTTTTTTTTTTTGTCATCCCTTCCGCTGGACTTCTTTCCAGCTCCGAGTTCGTACGGTGCACAGACGTCGTCGTTCTTGACGGGTTAAATGACCGCGAAATGGTGATAAAAGTGTCGAAGTTGCGCCCGATCAACAGCTGCATAATTCATTGGGATGATGGGACAGGCGTGAAATCCCCTGGTTCCACCTTAAATATTTCACAGCCATCGGACACAGCCGGATTAATTTCTCCCGGAACGACGATACATCCGATCCGTTTAACGCGTCCGATGCCCCCTTCGCTGTGATATTTATACACCTCTCTCCTGCCCCCGTCTGGTTTTATCACTCCATTATTTAATTGGCTCGTATTTCCACGCGCGAACCGCCGTCGAACGCGTTATCCGCGACGAGTGACGAACACGCGTCAGTTATGGGAGAGGAATATATCGGATGCGACGACGAGAGGGGGTGGGGTGGAGGACTCGTTGGAAAATTTACAATTATCCGCCGTTCAAGCGGGAATTATGGGTCGTTCGTCAGTCCCGACTGGTTTGGCTGCGATTAATGTTCGGACAGTCGATGGTGTAGCGACACAGAAAAGTATCTGCATATTCGGTATTTTTTTTCCTTTTTTTTTCTTGTGTCGAATCGACTGAAATATCTGAACTGGTTTTGTTGTACAGGTTGTTCCGCGTAATTGGATCGAGAAAATCAATTTCTTCTCTTAACGCTTTAACGGTCAGTGTTGCACCGGTGCAACAGTTCTTTTAAAATTGCGTCAAATTCTGTTGCCGTTTAATATCTAATTTTTGTTGGCGAGGATCCGTAATTTTACTGATATGAAGTAGATCTCCACATTTCCATCAATCGTAAACAATAAATTTTCGATTAACGCTTATGGAGTAATTACTGCAGGTTCATGAACTGCATTTTGGACATTCGACCGTTTCTCTAACAAGCAGAGGTCACAGCTGTCTGGTCATCGATTATAATCAAACATTTTGACCGTCGAATCTAGAGTAAAAATAAGCAGTCTCGTTTTCCGATGTCCAGATACAGACTAGCGCAGAAATCGTAGTACAAACGACAAAAGGGGTTGAGATTCTATGTGGAAAAATAAGGAAAAAATTTTTCTGTTACACGATCGTGACAAGGAACACTACCAAACTAACGAACAGTTAAAGTTGTTTATATTCTAATATCAAAACCAACGAATAATTGAGTCACTATAGAATAACATTAGATTTATCAGGCACGCCGTATCGGACATTCCCTTTTTATTTTTTTTTTTTTCATATCCACCTAAAAACAGCGGATTTACAGTCGGGGGGGAGGAGAGGGTGGTAAATTCGCGAACGAACGAGCCGGGGTAGGAATCTGTAATCGGTTCAATTCGATCCGTTTGAGGCCACCGCCGATCGGTCCGGAGCCACGTGGACCGCAGAGCTGCGGCCTGCAGTCAGCTGCGTTCTGCACGGCCGCAGAGTGCTCTATAGGGCGGCAAGGTAAACTGCAGCCGTGCTACGACCCTCCACCTCTCTTCCCGTTACCACCCCTTTATCTCCCTCGCCGATTTGTTGCCAGGTGAAGCTACAATTTTTTTTTTTGTTCACCTTATTCGCTTGCATAACTGCCGCAGGCTGTGCGCCCGTTGCGTCGCTCGTAATTATTCGAACGGTTGACCGTTCTAATTTCGACGCGTCGGTCTCGCGTAATTATTATATTTTTATAACAATACGGATCGTAATGGGGATATTATTAGTCGACTGCGGATTATATGCATTTATAGCGTGCACGACCATGTGAAATACAAGGTGGACCACAAAACGTGGTCAGTTTAGATTATTTTACTGCTTGCTATTGGATTGACAATTTTTTTGCACGATTAACCCCCGAACTGCATTTGTCCACTACAATGGACGCGTACTTGATCAGTTTAGTGACAATATTTGGAACATTTCTTGACGATTGATAGTACGAACTTTCTTTAATACTAAACCTACCACGACCGATCAAATGACCGATTTTGCCGTTCTAATTCCTATCGCTCTGAAGGGTTCAGTAGGTTTAGTGTTAAGTGACATCCATACATTAGAAATATTGTGTTACTGTGACTATCAGTGCCGTTATTTATCGTGAGCTAATACATTGTTTATAAACAAAAATAAAAACAAATATTTCAAAAATGTCTAAAATAGTCTTAAAATGACTTAAATTGTTTCGTGATTTTACGAAAAACAAATGTTTGTACAAGATACAAAAACGATGTGGTCGTTTCTTAACATCGTTTTAATTATGGTGAATGATATTTTCTTAATCCTTCTTTGGTTTAGAAGAAAAAAAAAGTATTTTTAGTATCCGCTAAAAGATGAGCATAACGAATTGTAAATTTATCTATAAATAACTAACGGTGACTTTGAAACCTCTGAAAAAAAGTGTCAACAAAAAATGTGGTGCAAAATCATCATAAAGCTCTCTTTGAATCATGTTATATTAACAAAAAAAAATCTCGATCTAGCAGTGGAATAATTTAAGTTGATCACGTTTCATGATTTACCCTGTACATACTTCGTGACTTTCTTTGCAGGTGGATCGTGCGGTTCTATCGAAACTTAATTGGAAGCGATATTATAAACTCAAACACACGTGACACGGCCCGGTAGTCGTGCCGAGGTGGATGATTTATGAAGCGGGGGTGATCCAAGTTTCCCGGCGAAACACCGAGACTATTTTTGCGCTTACGGTATATGCTCGCGATAGATAGTTATCAATGATTAATTAAAACCGTCAGGTTGGAAATGGGGAGGGGGTGAAGGGGTGGGGACATTGGTAACACTTCTCGCTCAGCCAGATAAGGGATTCAATTTTCTTTTACCGGCGGGATTAATTTTATCGGCTGAGCAAGCACGGCGGCACAATTTCCTGAATAAACCGTGGTGTCTTGAAAATTTTTGATCGATCTCGGCTACGTTCGATCGAGAAATCGTTCCGTCGAGAAAACGCTATCGGTGTGACCCCAGAAGTCGTGTCGCCTTCTATCTCCGTGTACCATGTTCGTCCCGCGAGATTTATAGGAACCGTACCGGATGACGATTACGCGATTCCGGAACTCTGTCTTAAAATGTTCGAGTCGGTACCTCGTAAATCTTCGATGCCGTGCGCTTCGTGTCTCGAGGAGGCGGTGAAAAAAAAAAATATCGAGCGGATCTCTTTTGAAATATCGTCGAGTCTACACAGGGAGGATACATTTCCGGCTTTGCACGCAAGGGCTCGAGCGTTAAGACTTTAAATCGAAACCACGGAACTCGCTTCCCCTTACATCCAGACGAAATCGATCCGTTTAGTTTAATGGTCTATCTTTAACTGTGCTGAACTGATAATATAAGAAGTATCAGTATTAGTAGAAATTATGTACTAAGTTTGTATTATGAATTATGAATCATGGATCATGAACATAAATCACAAATCATGGATCATGAACTGTGGATCATGAATTGCGTATCATGGATCTTGACTCGTGGATCATAGATTATGGATCATGGATAATGGACCATGGATCATAGATCATAGATCATGGATTATGAATCATGTCGTAGGTCGCAGACCATGGATCATAGATCATGAATCGTGAACTATATATCAAGTATCTTGTAATACATTTCATGGTTTTTCTGTCATGTGTCACACACAGTTTATCTTTCACATATATTAACACCTATTTTTTTTTTTTTTTTTTTTTTTTTTTTTTTTTTTTTTTTTTGGGGAGGGGAGGTTTTTTTTATTTTTTGGAAAATCGTACTCAAAGTGAGGAAAAATCCGTAAGAGCACGACCGAGAGTTAGTCGTCCATTTAAGAAAGAAAATAGACCCGGACTGCATACAATTTATTACCCAGCTCTCAGGTCAAAACGTTAATATATTAACACCTAGTATTAACCTAGTCTTAAATAGTACTTAATATTCACAACCAAACCCGTCAAAATGACGGATTTTATGTTTCTTATTTTACAATTACTGAAATCATAAAGATGCTTTTATCGGAATCTATGTTGACTTTTAGTTTACTATGCGTTTCAAATTACACTATATTCCATTATATTGTATCATACATATTATACATTCAACGCTGGTAGTTTTAGTGTCAAAAGAACATACATACATAATACTCTGAAAACTGTCGAGAGGAAAAAATATCTTGAAAAATGATCCACCAGTGTTCTGAATTTTTCCTTCCGTCCATTCGTCCGTTTTACTTTACTTCGTTGTAGCTATTCATTCATTTTGTTTCATTCTTCTTTTTCCGTTAAATTCGTTGAAAAATAGAAACGGAAAGGGGGTGCAAAATGAGCACACCCCACGTCCCTAGTTCCCAATTCCGCGCCATACCTGGCGTATGGTGCCGCCGTTCACGTTTTTATGAGAATAAATGGCCGGTCCCGTTGTATTCCACTCGAAACAGCCACTGAGTGGTTTAATTGGCGGGGGATGGATCGTCGGCCATTTATCAGGTAAAAACGTGTTCCCCGTCCGATTCCTAAGTAGTTACTCGAGGCGAGCGAACGGGCGAGCGTCTACTTTCACCGCAGCACATACGTGTTTTCTCTCTGTTCCCAGTGCTAGAACTGTGAGGGGTCCGGAGAGCACGAAGGCGAGAAGAAATGAGTCGGACGTGACACAATGACATGATGAAGAGTCTGGTGGGGATCATGTGGATAGTGTTGGTGCTCATATCAGGTTAGTTCGATAAATCTATCCGTGCAACTATACGGGACGCCCGAACGCGCAACGTTAGGTCTCGCAGTTCGCGAGAATATCTATCAATCGGGGCAAAGACAAGACGGACGTTGATATTTACCACGGAGTTTATAGGCGAACCGTCAAACCCGGTTGAAGTTTGCATCGGAACCCCTTCCCCTCCGTAAATTATTCAATAATTCGAAATTGATTGCCTCCTCCTTATATCGTAGAAAATTGAAGCCTTATCTCGTTTAAGGGACGCAACTATTACAAAACGATACGAAAGCTCAAAGTGACAAGGGAACTTTGGTACCTTGGAAATTCTGATTTTTCTTTTAAACTCTGCAGGTTTTGTAGGGGACTTCGATAGAAGCATCGAGTAATTTTTCGTTTTTTGCTGATATTCTGCTTTTAGGAATCTGGGGTTAATGGTTAATTTGTCTTTTCCTATTTTCTTGTATATCTTGGAAACTATAGTAGATATAAAAGAACTGTTAGAATGAAAATTAATAGGTTCTTATGCTATAAAGTTATTCAGTAAAATTCTGAAAAATGTGTTTATTTCTTTACTTTAAGAAACCATTAAATTTTCATTTTCAACAATTTTTTTATATCTGCCATAGTTTACACAATATACACTGAAAACACACATTAACCTTCACGGAGTAATTTCACCCTAAAGAACCGAATACCAGCAAAAACGAAAAATATCCCGATGTTTCTATCGAGTCTCCTACGAACCCGCATAATTTTAAAAAAAAACCTCGAAATTTTCGGGAACCCGAATCTTCCATTGCGTGTTAAATTACACAATTCACTATAAATCTTTCGAGTTAAATTACCACCGAATTTCAACCCGTTCGTCATTCCACCATTCCAGTCACTACAATAACTCAAATTCTATATTCCATTATATTATTCCATTGTAATTTCCAGACGCCCGTCGGACCCTTTGCAATCCAAATATTCCGTTGAGTCGTCGCCGTCTCTGTTAAAGCCCACCAGCGGCGCACAATAAACCGGTCCGACTATAATCATAGGACGACGAATAACTATCGCGTAAGATACGCCGTGTAGGTACCGTCTCTGCATATGCATCGCCTCTCTCCCCCTATTCGAATGTAAATGTTTTACCCGCGAACGTATTACACAATGAGCTGTGCCACCACTGCCGCATAAAAGGGACGAAAGGGGTAAATCTCTGGACATCCAGTTTTCTTCTAATCGACTAATAATATCTTTATTAAATGTTTTTAAACTTCGTCAGGGACGAATTTATTAAGACCAGAAAAGGAATCTTTTTTTTTTATTTTTTAACTGTATTTAGTTAAAATGTATATGTAAATATGAACGACAGTCAATTGGTAGAATGTATTCTTTATTTTTGGGATTTTTCTAGTGAATATTTATTGACAGAAATGTTCATTATGTATTTTGAAATCATGCTTGAATGATGAAAGGGAAACTAAGAGGAATCCAACCATGTAAATAATTTTTTTAAATACTATATTAAAAAATGTGATTTTTTTTTTTTAACTTTTCTTGTTAAGTACTTGAACCAGAGGTTTTCCATGGCGTCCAATACATGGAAGCTGTAAAAATATATTATTGTATAGTCGAGGCTTTTCTAATCGTGTTTCTAGAGGGTAATATGTCTGAAATCAAAAGATTGGTACATAAAATAAAAATTCGTCCGAATCTATATAATTTTTACAATAACAAAATTGTAAAAATTATGTAAAACATAAATTCAACGCGTTATGTCCTCTCTCTATTTATTTAAACGCGATTTATCTGCGAAGTGGCAAGTGGTCGCAGAATGTTTTTACAGTTTCGTAAAGTAGAGACTTTAGAAGATTAACGCGACATAGTTGGTTTATTTTTGAACTTTTTGAATTTTTTACTATATCATTAAAAACATAAAAACTTTTTTAAAAAGTAAAATTTCTGAAACTAATCGTCGAATTCTAAATTTCTCAACAATATAAATGAAAACAAATTTTTTGAATTCACATAGATGTTTTAATTCAAAGCATAGGTGGCTCGAAAAGTGTACGCAGAAATCGTCAAAAAATCAGCTTTAAAACAACTCAAAATAATTTGTCTCTTTCCGATTCCTTGTTGCTTAATGTCCAACGACTATATTGACATAGTTAGAAGAAGTCAAAATCTGAAATTCAAATTTTCGTCTATGTCGCGAATATTTAAAGGTACTTTTAAAAAATGATAATTGTTGGTCCTTTTTCCACTTATCTCGTGGGCGTGTAACGTGTTTCACGTTGGTCCACGAAGGACAGGTTAAAAGGGGTGGAGAGGGGGTGGAGGAGGAACAACAACAACCGTAACACGTTTCACGTCGCATGCTACAACGCGAAACGTGTCCTAACGGATACGTGTGTGGAAAATTTATGCGTTCAACCGTAGGCAGTCGATCTGTGACCCCCCATTGCTGGATGAACTTTTGGGAGCTGGTTTCTTCAGGCTGACGCTGGCCGTGTGTATTATAAATAGAGGGCGTCTCGAGAAACTGGGACGGACCTGTGTGTGTGACTCGTAACGGATGCCAGAGAAAAAAAAAGATGAAGGGGCGAGTTAAAACGTTTGCGTCGCCGACGCGAACTCACGTATCCCCCGGTGAAACGGCATTTTGTAACTGAGAAAACTAACTTGGACCGTTTCTTTTTTTCGGAGAAATTCGAACGAACGTTCGAACTTTTGTAGAGTCAGTTTACATGTTTATACGAGTTGTCCCATTTATATCGACCCACTCGAGTATCTCCGAAAATATTGACGATATTAAAAAATGTTTCTGACAGAAGTTAAACGGTATCAGGGGCATATTTTCTGGTGTAAATATTTGTATATACAACTGTGATGAAAGTAAAAAATGGGTCAAAGGGTAGTGAATGAAAAATTTCATTAGACGGTTTGAAAATGCTAAAATGTTCTTTTGAATCATTTTTATGTCATGTATGTCATATACACAAAAATACAACATACTATTTCTTTCGTAATTTTTTAATAATTTGGGAACGATAGGATTAAACATATGTATATTTGCAGTGACAATGAGTAGAAATTGAATGTAATGAACCAGACACGTTATCAAAGTCCTATTCAAGTTGCACTCGTACCCAACAGATTTTGGGATTTCGATTATCTATAGCGCGATACATTGCATGATAAAACTCTCCTTTCTACATTTTCGACTTATTTCGCATATAAAATGACCTTCTATGTCTGATCATGCCACCCGACCTGCCCGACCTTGTGTATTGAAAATATCGAATAGAAACTTTTAATCATCCAGGAATTTTTTTTTTCAATTTATCTTTTGACAAAGATTCGAGATAGTATAATAGTGCTTCTCTTTTCTATTGATCTTACTAAGAATCTAGTTATGAAGAGAGTAAACAATTTTTTTGAAGGATTTTTAAAGTGGAGAATCAACGTTTCTCACGTACCATCCACTTGTATACGTCCACTAGTTCCGTTCCACGAGGCAATTACAGACTGTGTGTCTGGCCAGATACGATCCCGCGCTCCTTAACAAAGTGGCCGCACGGTCCCATTCTACTTAACGTACAGACAGTCTCGTTACACTTGCCGGACCATGTACGCTCTTCTACTTGTCCGTTCAAGCGCACTCCTATTCTACTTGCCTGTGCAAACACAATCTCATACTACTCACGTGTTTACCTCGCTTTTCGTGGCGAACCACTTGGGTTAGTTAGCTCCTCTCGTTCGTTACACATGTCTTTACCACTTTTCGTTGGATTCTGCGCGTCCGAACAGAGGACATACAGAATTCTTTTGTCTGACCAACCATAAACGCGTTGTACTCATTGATCAATCTACGTATACACCAAATATGCCATATCTGAAATCGTGTTGAGGAGTAATGTTTCTTCAGAAATGAGTAAACTATATTCCCTGGAAATAAAGTGGTATGTTTTTATTTTAACCACGATATATTAGGATTGAAAATTTTATGATGGTTTTATAGTTATGCCACGCAGTTTATTATGATTCCTTTAAATTTTTATTAATTTTTCCTGATGTACTACTTTGATTGATCGAATTATCAGAACTGTCTGCATACATTGCGCGATTGTACAATTTGAACTGTATTTTTCATAAGTATACTTGACATAAACATCGAAAGGGTTAATATTTAATTAATAAAAACAAGTTCCGCCTCGTTAATATTTAATCAACGTTGAAACATATTCAATAAAACATGAGTGTTCCCATTGAAAAAATCGAATGATTAACTAATTTACGCCTATTCCACCGCCATCTATCACGATTCGATAAAAACGTTTCAGATAATAGTTACGTACTTTTTTCCGTAGAATCTGAGTTTGCAGTAAGAAATGTGGGTTTGCATTTAAGATTCCAAAGGGGTAATTTTAGCACAGGTGAATAGCCCCTTTGAAAATATCGAGGGTTTATTTGAAACATTTTTTCGTACGATGCGTATTTCTCGAGATATTTCGATTTGTCAAGTTAAATGAAACACCCTGCATAAAAAAAATAAACAATGTACTTTCCAAGTGAAATACTGGAATAGCGCGAGAATACCAAACGTCTTTTTCCGCGTGATAAACACAGGATAAGGGGATACTGGAGCCGAGAATAAAGTGTCTTTTAAACGTGTGCCACGCGCCGGCCGGAACTCAATATTTCTCGATATGTCCGGCTCATCGAACAATCCCGTCCCGCCCGAGAAATGCAATATCGTCTCGGTTACAACGGTGCTCCAGTTCTTATTGGCGGGGCCGCCAGTGCGCGTCGAAGCAACAATTTCACGGACGTCGATTCGCCGACTAATTGGCCCTGATGGTATTTCTTCTTGATTCTGTGGCCATTTCCCACCCAGTGACGATTCAAACCAGCGGGACGGGCTGCTCGAACCCCTTCGAAAGAAGTTCGATCAAACGGGCCAGGGGGATCGATTTCGGTGGTTATCGACACACTAGTCGTCGATATGAAAG